CTAGAGGGGTGGGGTAAAAATCCAATAAATAAATAAATAAATAAATAAATAAATAAATAAATAAATAAATAAATAAATAAATAAATAAATAAATAAATAAATAAATAAATAAATAAATGGTGCAAATTGGGGAAACTTTGTCTTTCTGTGTTCTGGCTAATATGGGTTACTATTTTTTCCTCTGTGATGTTTGCTGTTCTGTCAACTCATAATTTCTAGGTTGTTCCATTAGTTGTTCCTCTATTGATACGTTTAATTTCACTATTGTGTCTACCTCTACCCTCCATTTGTCTTCCCTATTACGGTCATTGCTCTGTGTTGATTTTGCCACCTTTTCTAGTTCTTGCAATTCCAGTTCTGAAAACACTTTACTCTGGATGATAAACCTGCTCTGGACCATTATTCGTTGTTCAGTTCTGTCACTACTTGGGCATTTCCTTTTTCAAATTTCCATCATTCTTTTTTGAAACCCACGGACTGTTGGGTTTGCCTTGTAATAACATTTCAAAATGTCTCCATTTTTGGCAAGAGTCAACGTTTATGTTGTTTCAGTAGCTTTGCAGTACCCTGTCCTAGTTCCTCAACAAGGGTCTGCTGAACCCTGTAGCCCATTTGTCACCAGATGCCCAGGGGTTCTGGGATCTGACACGGTCCTTGTTGACCCAGGCGACAACCAGTCCAGCAGGGATTTCTGTTTATTCCCTTCTCATCATAATTGATGGTTGGTGGACACTGCTGGTCAGCTGAGACCTGTCTGGCTTGGGACACCATTCAGCATAACTTTCAACCTCACTGAAGCACGCAAGCCCCTCCACCTCAACAAGGCTTGTGCCCATGGAGGGGATGATGATGATGATGATTTCTCCATGCTGTGCAAAAACTCTAAGGGCAAGGACAGCCCAGGCAAAAACATCACAAAGATGAGGCAGTCGGGGTGTTGTCTCTAGGTGCCAAAATGTAGAGGCCATCAATATCTCTGTGTGCTGCTGTGCAAACACCAGCATGGAGAGGCCGAAGGAAACACAAAACAGGGAAGCTCAGGATGGAACCAACGGGGCCGCTGTGTGCTCACAGCCAGTCGTTTGTCCCATTCTTCCTCTGCTCAAGGATGACAGTCTCACACAACCCAAGCTTACCCAAGCTACCAACTTTCTAGTTAGAGCTCTGCTTGCACAACTTATGAAATGATGGTTAGTCAGGCAGTCTTTTGTCTAAAAACCAGCTGCCTCTGGCCAGTCTTTCCAATGACACAAAGCATGCTGTGTAACCCCCGAAACTTGCGGGTGACACCCAAGTCTATCTCTCCTTGCTATCTTGAACCCGAAGAAACTGTTTAAGCTCTAGATCAGTGTCTAATGCCAGCAACAGACTAGCTGACAGGGAACAAACTGAAACTTAATCCAGATGAGACAGAGGAGCCCCTGGGCAATCAAAAGGCAGATCAAGGAATAGGGATGCAGCCTGTGCTGGATAGGGTTGCGCTCCCTTTGAAAACACAGGTACGCAGCTTGGTGGTACTCTTGGATTCATCTCTGAGCCTAGATGCCCAGATTTCAACAGTAGCCAGGAGTGTATTTGCACAAATAATATTAGTGCACCAGCTGGCTTCATTCCTGGAGAGTTCTGATTGGCCACGGTGACACATGCCTTAGTTGCATGCCAACTGCACTACTGTAACACACACTACATGGGGCTGCCTCTGGAAAGTGTTGGCAAACCCCAGTGGGTCTAAAACACAGCAGCCAGGTTGCTAAATGGGGTTGGTCACAGGGATCACATAACCCTCCTGTTACACCAGCTCCACTGGTTGCCAGTTCATTTCCGGGCACAATTCAAAATGCTGGTGTTAACCTATAAAGCCCTAAACAACCTGGGCCCAAGCAATCTCAAGGACTGCCTCTCCCTTTATGAGGTTGCCTGGCTGTTAAGATCATCAGGAGAGGCCTTCCTCTTGGTCCGGCCACCTTCCCAGGTGTGTTTGGTGGAGACATGGCAGAGGATCTTCTCTGTTGCTGCTCCCAGGCTTTGGAACTCCCTCCCACAGCAAACCCCATCTTTGCTGTTTCTCGCCCACAGCAAACCCCATCTTTGCTGTTTCTTGGCAAGCAGGCAAAGACCTTTGTCGTCAGGCAAACTCAGTGATCGGCTGGCTGAGTGAGATTTTTTTTAAACGGATTGTTGTGCCTCATTGCTTTGACTGTGTTTTTAGTACTTCCTGCGTTTGCCATTTCTCAGAGTGGTATTTGTTCATTTTAAATATTTGTATACTTATCGTTTTTAGCTTTAAATATTGTCTTTCAGTAACGGTCCTTTTAAACGCCTTGAGTCCTTTTAAAGGAGGAAGGCGGGGTAAGAAATAGTTTAAAGAAATAAAATCTATCGATCAACAGATCCCTGATTTCCTAGCTCTCACCTACCTATCTACCTACTTACCTATCTTTCTCTCTCTTCCCCCACCCCTCCTCCTTTCCGTCGATAGTGGGTGGGCTTCTTTTTAACAGGTATGCGATGATGTCAAACGTGATGCTGATGCTCCGGCGCCTTAAGCCCGCCTCTTTTGGCGCAGGCTCCGTCAATCCTCCCCGGTGTTCCCAAGCGCCGGCTTTCAGAGAAGTGCATCTCCTAATCAGGTCACATTTCAGAGGGGATCCGAGCATCCGTCTCTTGCCCTAAAGTCAGGCGATCGGAGCCGGGGAGAGGGACTGAGAGAGAGAGAGGACGAAGAAGACCAAGAATAATTACTTGGCCACACGGGAGAGAAGAAGAAGGAGACAAGCGCAAGCTCCCGTCCCCAAGAAGGGAGGCATTTAAAAAAGAAGAAAGAAAGGAGGGGAGGGAAAGATGAGAGCCCGAGGCTGCTGTCTGGTGCCGCTGCTGCTTGCCCTGGCTTTGGCAGAAGGGGACGGCAAAGCCGGGAAAGAAGGCGAGAATCCCGGCAATTTCATGGAGGACGAGCAATGGCTGTCGTCCATCTCCCAGTACAGCGGCAAGATCAAACACTGGAACCGCTTCCGAGACGTGAGTCTGCACAGCGCTCCCGATCTGGGGGGTAGAAATAATGACACACACGCGCACACACTTGAGAGAAAAAAAACCCTGAGCCCACCCTGGGCGGAGAGGTGGGGAGTGGCGCGGCTGTTGCAATGCGTTGCACCTCAGCAGCATGTGCTAAAAAGGCGCGTGCGGGCGGGGGGGGGAGAACTGCAGGGTTGCTTAGCAGGCGGCCACAGTTGCTTCCTTCTTGTGTGTGTATGTGGGGGGGGGGAGGCCGTGCACCCGCGTAGCAAGTGACTGGGGTGGTTGGACGGCGGAAGCCAGGGGTTGACGGTGCACTGCAAGAGGGAGACCGGCGTGGGTGGGTGTGCAACCTGCGCCCCCTTTGCCACGGCGGCTGCGGTGCAAGAAAGGGGAGGCGGGGGTTTGCAGCTGCCCGATGTTTGGGTAGCTTTGGTGAACGATCGGGCTTTTCCTGCGAAGTGGGCATCAAGGATCCAAGATGGCTCGTAGAACTTGTGGGTTGGCTCGGAGCAAGGCGTTGCATAGTGTGGGTTTGTAAACTGTGTGTGTGTGTGTGTGGTCGGGAGGGGGGGGAGAGAACCATCCTTTCCGAGTTTGCAAAGGTGGC